CGTGCGAATCGCCGGGGGGGGCGGCTGCGCCCCTGCCAGCCGGACCCACCGCTTTTCTTTCTGTTCTTCGCGAACCCACTTTGCAGGAGCGGAGCGTCCCGATCCATACGTTGTTGTTTAAAGCTGGAGGAGAGATGACGGTGCAAAAAAGTGGAAGTCACGGGCGGCGTCGGACTTCTCATCCCTTCAGCAGCGTTGAAGAAAAACTCTGGAGCCTGGAAACGCGACCGGATTATTACAGACAGTCTCGAGCGCAGTAAGTTCGGGCCTGATCCCACAGGCCCTGCCAGCACCGTGGCTCACGCCAACTCGAGTGCCTAGCATGCTCCGAGTGTCTGCAAACGAGGAGCTTGAGTAGAGTTAAAATAAATAACTACATGAAACGATTTGCGCTTTTGAACAGCAGATTTTCTGTTTCAAATGTGACCTGAAGCACCTTTTGTTTCAAAAGCACTTAAAGTGGGGGAGGCTCATTGTAAAGTGGCCCAGCCCTTCTGTCTTGATATTTCAGTCGTGCACCTAATCCAAGTTTAGCTCATAAGGAGTTTTTATAGAGGTTAATTTGTGGTGGGGAAAGTGGGCAATCAATGTGTTTGGTGGGGGGGGTTCTCCATATGAATGGACTGGAATTTTTTTTTTAAGTCATCATTATCATCTAGTTTGAGTCATCCAACTTTGAAATGTTTTTCACTCTTCATTTTTATATGGCATCTTGCTAACCAGGGGGAAAAAAAAGTTTCCAAAAAAAGTTTCCCAAGCCAAAAGTGTGTTTGGTAATGATACGACATTGGTAATGATATGACATTGTGCGTGCTCCAGCATGCTCTGCTATCGGCGTGTTTTGCTGTTAATTTGGGGTAACAGTCCTTTTTCTTTACATACAGCCTTAATTCAATCTGAGTCTTGGGAGTTGAGCTGCTCAGGGAATTTAATAGCTAAAAATAAATGGCACTTGATGAAGGATTGGGTATGAATTGGGTATAAACCAGATTTGTGAATATTAATATTTTCCACTGTCTCAACTCAATTGTTTGAATTTTTAAAACAGATGAAAGTGAGCACAAGCAGCCATGAGCTATTTAAGTGGATGGGACTCTCCACTTTACTTCTGTTTCGTCATCATTTTCAAAATGAGTGTCTTATTTGTTGCATTTCTATTTTTGAACCACAGTGAAAGGGCAACTTGGCTTCTAAAACCCTTTTAAAAATTAGTAAATGCACTTTTTGATTATTTTTTTTTCCATCCAAGGCTTTTTTATTTTATTTTTAAACAAATAACGGTTGGATTTGTGCTTTGTCACGTGTCCCCTGTACACCAGTTTTGTAGCAGACCTCTTCATTTTACACCAAACAGTATAGGAAACACTTAACTTTTTTTCTTGGCTTTGGCTCTACCTCGTATGGAAATAGAGACCGTGCAAGTTAGTGGAGTTATGTGTATTTGTGCGTCTTTCCTGTCATTGCCTCAACTATTTCTTTCCTTCCCAGGATGCCTTATTCCTCTAATGTAATGTTTCCCCTGTGTGTGCCGTCTGAGTGGGGGGGGGGGGGTTCTGCTTTTTAAGTTGATGCCTCTTTGTGTGTGTGTGTGCGTGCGCTAATTGTGTTCTCTGCCCAACAGCCAGCATATTTTGTGTTGGCTTATTTCTGCATATCCAGATGTCCTCATTTTCTAGGAGTCTTAGTGTATGGCTGACTGCAGGGAATTGTCCATCCCTCCTTTCTTTCTGGAGTTTATCTCTTACTCGTGGCAGTAAAAGAAACGGCCAGGTGACCGTGTGAAGCTCGGAGATGGATCAGAGCAGGGTGCTGAGAGTCTTGGTTGCTTTCAGATGCGCAAAGCGCTTTAGATCCGTGCGCTGAAGGTGGATCAGACGCAGGTCTCTGTCTCCCTATGTGACTTATTTCTGGCCGGCCTGCCTTGCTCACCCAGCTGAGGTCTGCGTGCAACTTGCCAGCCAAGAAATGCAGTTCCTGGGTTGCTTGTGGGGTGTTGCTAGAGAGCACTGTGTGTTTGTTCACTTTATTTCTCCCTCCCCTCCTCTTCTGCTGACTTAGTGAGCTGCTGGCTGCAGGAGTGAGGTGCCAGGCCCTGCTCCACGATCTGGTCCCCTCCATTACAGCCCAAGTGGACTGTGCTTTTTAATTGTGTTTTAAGGGGGGCACTGCTTTTGACATCAACACGCACAAGCAGCACTTTCCTCTTCCTCTGGAGGATGGGTCTGTTCAAGCAACACGAGTCTCTTGCTCTTGTGATGCCTCCTCCAGGGCAGAGAGGTGCAGGGAATCGTGCTACTGCTTTTATTTTGTTGTGCAAGATTTTTGCATGGTATTTTTTCCTATCTGGTAGATGAAGGGGGTTAATTGGTCCTCACAACTCTCACTTCAGTCTTGTATCTGCATAGCAAATGTCAGTCTTCCTGCTGTTATGTGCCTGGTACGATTATTTGTGTTAATATGCATTTAGGACACTTCCTGATGTAGCACAAGTCTGTCACTCTCACTGTACGTCCCGGTGACCCAGCTTATACATTAACCCGGGGGTGGGGGTCAGGAAGGAGAAGGATACCATCAATACTTTTCTTTTTTTTAGTATGTTCTGTCTGGGGGGGGGGAAGTTTTGGTTTTCCCCAGCCAAGGAGGTTAGCACACATCAGAGCTTTGAACTGTCTTTGTTCTCACGAACACAGCTGGGCCTCAAGAATAAGATTGTAGTGTGATTACTCGATGCACTGCACTGTATGTTGTCTGCCTCAAGTACAGTATCTGTTGGCATGCTTCATAACTTATTTTTGTGTGTGTTATTTTTCTAGTTCCTATTGAAACAGAAGTTAAATTGTGTCCAAAGGGAGCCATGTTTGCAGAACAAACTGATGCATCCTTGCATCCAGTCAAGGTGAGTTGGGGACGTGAACTTAACATCCCCTGACACTGGTGAAGCACCTCCAGGGTGGGATCCCACGGGGTGCCGTCTCCACGTGGCATTCCCATTGAACTGAGCATCCGGCTGCTAGGGTTGGGCACTGTACTTGGCGAGAGGAGCCATTTTCCTCAAAGAGATGGCTACTGAAAATCCTTTGACATTGGTTTGTATACAATTTATTGAGAACCTAAAATGGCAGGTGGCCGATTTTTTGTTGTTGTTGTTGTTTGTTTTAAAAAAAAAATGGTAAACTATACTGCAAGAGATGGTTTAATCGTGTGCATTTGAATTGTTCTTTTGGCTTAAATAGGTATTGGTTAAATTTCTCTCACATAGACATCAGGGCTGGAAGGGACCTCGGAAGATCGTGGAGTCCAGCCCCCCGCCCCAGGGGCAGGAAGTCAGCACTGTAATGTACTTACCTACTGCTCTCTCTCTTCCCCTCATTTAAACCCCAAAGCAGAATTGCCCCCCCCCACACACACCTCCCCCCACCCCTTTTTTTTACCTTCCTCTGGGGGGGGATTGCTTTGAACTGCAGTAGCTTAGACCTGAGCTTGAAGGATCCCCTTTTGAAAAGGCAGAAGTTATTTGCTTTCGTGGTTTAGGTCACAGGGCCAGCCTGTGGCATGGGCACCACAAGTGGCAGCCAGCCACAAATGCCCTGGCAGATCAGGGAGGGGACAGGCAGCGCAGTGGCAGATGGGGCAGAAAGCAGAGCAGTAGATCAGGCTCGGACTTGAAAGCAGAGAAGCAAATCACACAGAGGAGGGAGAACAAGGGGATCGGAGTAGAGCTTGGGAAGGGGGGGGTGCTAATTTTGTGGCATGCCTGCCGAAAAGGTCATCCCCGGCTAGTTTAGGATTTGACTTTTATGCACATCCCTGAGACCCTTAGTCTGACTGTCATCTTAAAAGCAAAATAGAGGTCTAGAACGAGGTTTGACATATTTGAAATGATTCACTCCTTAGAAAAGAAAAATAACTAAGACAATGGGTAGGACCAGTCAAGCTAAGCCTCATTTAGGAAAAGAAAGTCTGGACAAGAATAAAAATGGGATCTGTCTACCTGTATGTGTATATGTAGGTTACTTGCTACTGATAGCAGAATAGCCTTCACCCTTTTTGAGTATATAGCATGTGCATTGCCGTGAGAACACAAAATACACACAAAAAAATCCCCCCAGACATTTATGTTTGCATTAATTCAGTACAGGCTATTACAATTTTTGACATCCCAATTCTTAAGTTATGCTTTAAGAAATAAAAAGGGTGGGGAACAGATAAGCAGGACCCCACAGAGGTATTTGGGGTGTTGGCACACAGGTGATAGCATAGGAGATGTGTGAAGGGGGAGTTCTCTTACAGCTTGAATTTGTAATATTCTTGTTGAAACACCAGAGGAAGGAGGAGGAAGATAGCATGATCCCATCTCATCACATGACTAGGAAAAATCTCAAGGATACACAGAAGTATCAAGCTTACCTTCATCACCTTTTATGCCAGCATAAACAGGGTAACTCCTCCTAAGGCTGCAGACTGGAAAGTCAATCTAGAGAATCAAAAAAACCAAAACACATTATTTTCTCTCCTTTCCTTCACAGGCATTTTGTTCTCTGTCTACGTGGGCAGGGAAAGTACTGGAATTGTGGGAATTTTGAGGTTTGGGGGGAGGGGGGGATTTCTTCTGTTCACATTTAAATGCAGAAGTTTTACAAATCTGAATGAGATGGGTCTTAATTGCCTAAGCACAGAAAAAGTCATTTCCAAGTTCTGAAATAATCTGAATTTGGACAATCTCAATTGGGAGAAATCAGAGAAAGAGGAAAATTCAACATCTTGTGTGCTACCTAAGTATTTCTGATGGCAGGTCTTGCCCCTGGCGAAATCCCTTTAGCATTTAACCTGGCACCCAGCTGCCAAAAAACAGTCCTAGAGAAGTAGGGCTGGAAGGGCCAGCCCTCCAGCGGTCATCTAGTCCAGCCCCCTGCCTAAGGCAGGATCAGCCCCATCCAAGCCATCCCTTACAACTCTAATGTAACCTGGCAGCGTTGTATTGCCTCTATTGCAAGGGGACGAAGTCCTGCACGAGGGATTAGGACGCAGGCTGGCAAGCCTGAAAATATAGTGGGCTCCTGCAAGCCGACTAGGCGTATTTTTGGGCAAATAAAATGCTCCCGCATCTAACTTTTTGTTTTCAGGCATGTTTGCAGTAGCTGTATTCTTGTGTAATGACTTGTTCTCTTATAGTTTCAGACTGGTAGCACGTGAGTGAAGAACACACTGCCAACACGACATTATAAATGCCTTCCTCTGATCGTAGAGCGCTCTTCCATCTTATGGTTGTTTTATTGTTTGTTTTTTCCCTCTTTCCAAAAACTAAACCAAAAAAAAATAATCAAAATACCATTTGGGATTTCAACATTCATTGGGCTTTGAGGAGATGTAGCAGCACATCATGGTTTGTAGGGACAAGGAGATACAGACCATTCTGGGCTGCCTCATTACCTCAAGGATAAGACAAGAAATTGAGCTTCTGGGTATCATAGAGGTGGAAGCTAACACACGCTCACGTATCTCTTAGGTCAGTTGAACCAGGTACGTGTGGATCGGCTTGCTCTGCGCTTGCACGTGTGTGCGCTTTTCTTTCCAGCCTTGCCGAGAGACCAAGCGTTGCCTTTTCACGCCTCTTGGCCTGTTGCGAGGGGGCTTGGGGCTTTGCTGTCTGACCCGCAGAGATTTCACTAGTTTCTTACCCCCCACCCCCCCCACCCCTCCCATTGGCCAAGCGCTTGACCCTAAGGAGGAGGCAGGGTACAGCCTTGCTTCTGCCATCTGCTCCAGGTAACCCTCTTTTTTTTTTTCCCCCCTTATGGTGCAATGCTTTCTCCCATGTCTTAGCACCGGTGCTGGGACCGGACCGCCGGAGGGGGGCTCGGGAAGCGCGGGCCACCTCTCCAAGTGGACGTGTCAGCAGTGCTCTAGCAGCACGTAAATACTGGAGTCGAGGACTGCCTGGCTGCTCTCCAGTATTGCATTGCTGCTTGAGTGAGGCTGGATCTCGGTGCCTGCCGCAGGAGCCCACAAGCACCTCCGAGGGGGTGGGGGGGCGGCGTCTCTGGCCCTGCTGTAGCCCTCGTCGCAATAAAGCCTGGCCCAAGAGGCAGAACCCGTGGTGTGCTGTGCTGTGCTGTGGTGTGGCGTGGCGTGGCGTGTGTGTGTACGGGTGCTCTTTGCATGGGGGAGCAGCAGGGTCCTTGCGGCCCCCTCCAGCAGTGCAAGCAGCTTGACCTGCAAAGGGTTAAACTGTTCTCCCCAAGGGGCCCAACATGGGGGGGAGGGTGTGGGGAGCCCTTCCACACACCTGGTGTGTCTGCAGGGGCCCAAACCTGGGTTAAACACCACCAAGCCTCGGTGTAACCACCCCCGGGGGGGGGGGGGGAGGGTCTGGGGAGCCCTTCCACACCCCTCGTGTGTCTGCAGCAGCCCAAACCTGGGATAGCAATGGGGAGCAACCGGGCAAGCTCTGAGGAGCCCTTCCCCACACTTATTTCGTGTGTCCGCAGGGGCCTAAACCCAGGGTAGCGACGGGGAGCCCTGCACTGGACTTACCTCCTGTGTCTGCAGGGGTCCAAACCCAGGGTAGCAACAGGGCAAGCTCTGGGGAGCCCTTTCCCCAGCTTAATGTGTGTCCACACGGGGCCAGCCCTGCAGGGCGGAGCCCTGGGGACCCGGCTCCTGTGTCCACGCGAGGCCGACCCGGGATCGTGGGGGGGAGCCCTACCCCGGGCTTGCCTCCTGTGTCCCTAGGGCTCAGCAGCAGTGGGGGGCGCCCTGCCCCCGACAGGACCCAACCTGAGATAGCAGAAGTGGGGAGCCCTGCCCCGGACTTGCCTCGTGTCTGCACTGGCCTAAACCCGAGATAGGAGCTGTGGGGAGTCCTTCCCCAGGCTTACCTCGTGTCTGCACTGGCCCAAATCCGGGGGAGCTGTGGGAAGCCCTTCCCCGGGCTTCCCCCATGTCTGCACTGGTCCAAACGCGGGATAGCAGCGGGGTGGGGGGGGCTCCCCTGGGCTTAATGCGTGTGTCCGCGCAGGTCTAATCCCGGGGGGGCTGTGGGACGCGCTTCCCCGCGCTCCGCTGGGTGCGCGCGCTTGGCTCGTGTGTCCGCGCTGG